AGAGAGAGAGAGAGAGAGAGAGAGAGAGAGAGAGAGAGAGAGAGAGAGAGAGAGAGAGAGAGAGGTGGGGTTCAGTGGGTGATAATTTTTTTTAATAAAATAATAGAAAATTAAATAAAATAAATTAAAATTGAATTATTTGAGGGAATATTGGTCATTCATGTTGGGTGTGGACCAAAACTACACAAAAATGACAAATATATGGACCAAAACCGCATAAGGTATCCAAAATTGGACCAGTAATGCACCGTTAAACTTTTTTGTCCCAAACTCACAGAATTTTGACAACCACATGGACCATTTTTGCAATTTTGTCTTTGCAAAAATAACCAATATTTTTGAAAGAAAAATTAAATATCCTCCTAATTTTCGGACATTTGGGATTTCAATAAATATATAATGTGTATTTCAATCACATTTCAAAAACTCTATCTACCAATTTTAGAAAATGGTCATTTTTCAAAATATATAATATCACCAATTTATCAATGAATATCATATTTTATTCTCTTGTATCGTATCTGCTTTCCAATTGCTATATTCCTTTAATATATTGTTGAATTCTAGTAAGAAATAAAATATTTTCTCAAAATTTCTAGCTTGTTCTTGAAATTTCAAGAAACTTATTTTTTATATCTGTAATTAGGAATCCAAAACCCGAAATATGAGCATGAAATTTGAATATGAAAATATACTTTTTATTAGAAAAAGTACTTTTGGTAAAACATAAATTTATTTCGAAATAGCTCGAAATGCCCCCATTTCGGACATGGTAGGATTTGTTAAAACCTGGAAAAGGTAGGCTATTTCTTTAAGGAAATCTACTATAAAGTCTCTATATTTTAACCTCATATGCAATGAAGTCCATATATTTTATTATCATTTTCCGGTTACCAGGTCATCCCATTTTTAAAATTTATACTTTTGGCCTAGATTTTAAATTTTGTTGCAAATTTGATCCAAAATATACCCTTCTGGCATAGATTTCAAAAATTTATGACAATTTCATCATAAATTTAGTTTTTCTACATAACTATTTTTTCAAAATTTTATTTCGAATATGTCATTTTTGCTTTATAAAATTATTTTTATACAAAAAAAATATATTTTCACATAAAAAAAACCTTATTTTTCTATATAAAAACCTTTTTTTTAAAAAACTT